ATAAGACAACATTTCATTTATTCACTTATATACAAAAAAATCATAAATATTTTAGTTGTAGCCTTAAACAAACACACGCAATATCACAAAATAAAAAAAAGTATCAAACAAATGGGAAAATATTCCTATCTATAATTAATAAGATACAAAAAAAAACAAATACAAATTAATTTTAATTGTCTGATAGAGATTTTTCGGTAGTTTACCATAAAATTAATTTATAAGACTACAAATTTATCAGGTTTCCTGTCTCTGCGGTACTATTTTCTCTTTTGAGTCTCAATGAATGTTTCCAAGCGTTATAATCACTCAAAATAGGTCTTCCATAAGAATTATGGAGTTCCCAGAAGGAGATGCTAGCTTTTGTAGGCGCACTATCAGATTGTCGATTTGTTTCGTCGATTCGTCCTATTTTAAAAGATTCAAGTTATAATTTATGGAGGATGCCATTAAGAAGCTATAAAAAGGTGAGACCCCCGCATGTACTTAATTACCTGGTGCAGATCTCATACTGTGTGACCTTTGGTGAGGATTGTTGTCTGGTTTATTGAAAGGATTGTGTCGTTGTCTCGGAGGTGGAACGGGGGATCCCTGAACAGGCGCCACAGGCAATGGAGGTTCTAAACAAACATACCAGAAAGTATTACCACTTTTTGAAATGTAATCCTCGGAATTTATATTCATTATTGTTTTGTTTTTTAAATATTTAATTCATTTCCTAAAATTTAAATCCAGAGTACTACAAACTACTCAGAAAACACGTAAAAGCGAACTAAGCATAAGTCGTGAGGTTAAACCAAGACAATAACGAAAAGTAAATAGGATATTAGTCAAGCAGTTTGTTTATAAAGCTTACTTTTTATCTTAACACATGATTGTATTACTTAGATAACAACATGATAATTGTTTAAGTATGTACAAATACAAAAATAATATATGTATGCTCATTTCTAATATGACACTCCAAAATTTTTTTCCAACCTTATGATATTTTGATGCAATATGAAATTTGATTCAGTTTGTTATTAAACATGTATATCAACAGGAAGGAATAGAAGTAAAATTTGATTTTCAACATTTGTTTGTAACTGCTAAAATATTTACTCATTATGTATACCTTCAATATCATCCAGTTGTCTTTGCAGTTCTGCTACCATTAGTTTCATGTAATCGTAACTTGCACAGGCCAGTGCTTTCATCCATTGCTCCATGGCTTCTTGAGATTCAGCTGCCAAGATGTAGCTCCTGTTGTTAGTTCCATGAAATTCGATTTTAAAGCTGAACTGCTCATCATCTTCAGCTAGCTCTAAAAATAATTATATCACTGTTTAATAAATAATTAAGAACATAAGAGCTCACTTACCTATTGTACATCCTTCCAAAATAATAACACCAATTGGTTCTCTGTCCCCTTTTTTTTCAAAATAAAACAGTAGATTACCTTTAAGCACAAAATAGCGGCGTTGGAAATTTTTGTTCACTTCACCTCGTTTACTCAAGTATCCCTCTTTATCTATTGGGGTGGGTGCTGTCGCGAACGCCGATAAGTTTTTCTCGTTTATTTTCATTTTAAAACTTTAAAAATGTATTCATTACACGATTCTACTATTCTTTATTTTGTAACTTGTCAAAATATTCTAAATCAAAATATTATTATAATCACAACCATAGATTATATCATAATTATTGTTAATACTGTTATTTACGTTATGATTAAAATCATAGATTGGTTAAAATCTGTAACTAAAAACAAATTGGAGTAGAAAATAACATATAAAAGTAACGTTTTAAATCACGGGTATTTATCATGGAGCATATACTACTGGAGGTAATTTGGTGTGTGTATAAATCATACAAAACAAACCCATGAAGAGACAGCTCGCTTAGTGTACATATAATAGTTGTTCTTTTACTCACGTTTATTTAGCACGCTATTGTTGGTCATTAGTGAAAAATTTCAAAACATTTAGCAAAGCGTTAACATGTGTTTAATTAAACAAAAAACAAATCTTACAAAAAAAATTAACCTCACAAAAATTAAACAAAATTATAAAGATGAAAACAAATACAACTCACTTATCTTTAATTTAATTTGTGTTTTATCTTATTGTTAGCATATCTTTGGTCATATTTAATGCAAAGCAAGTTACCTCCGGTAGTATATGACCCGATAAATACGTTCCCCAATAACGTCAACAATATTTCAACGAGTAAATATCAGTTATTTTAAGATGTGAGTAATAAATAACGTAAAGAAATGACGGCACAGCAATAGTCTAGTTTTTAATAATATTAAAAAAAGTTGTATTGGCAGGTAAATTATTATTTATTTATCCTACCTAGGAAATATATATATTCGTAATTTTCAGTATTAGTTTAAGATGGATACGATCGACCTGCTTGAGAAGCGAATCGCCCAGTTGGAATTAAGTATTTTACCAAAAGACATTGAAGAAGATGTGAGAAAGAAGCATTTGGTCACTGATTTGCTTATACAGACGCATACGATGATAGCAACCGCATTAAGTTGTCGTGAAGTGGTCACTTCTATATTGCAACGGATGCCTGAAATAAATGATTATCTTGACCCACACTACAGTGAAAATCTACTCGATACCGAACAGAAGAAGCAGTACATTCTTGAATTATATCCAGAATTAAAGAAAACTGCTGAACTTGTCGTTCAGTTTCAAAAAGTAAACCCTTTTGCAGAGTTGGTTGACATTGATAAGCTAGAAGACAGGCTGGAGCTTGCAACCATTTCAAATGCAGATATTTACAAGGAGTCTCAGGAAGTAACCCACAATATTTTGAAATCTATGCAGCAGTACAATGATATTATATCGACAATTAAAGTTTTGTTTATGCAGCTGGAATGCTCTGTTAGTGAAATAGAAAAATCATTACAGTCCAAACCAGTTTACGATTGAAGTTTTTTATTGGTGGTTATAATTATTCTGATTTAATGTAAACTACTTATGATACAGAACAATTCCGTTTATAATATTTTCCTACATGTAGTCTACTTATTTATTTCTTTTCTCTTTTGTTAAATGTATTTTATATTAATATATTAAGTGAAGTTTATGATTTTTGTTGTCATTGCCCTTTAAAACGATACAGGAAGAACAAAAAAGAAAGACAAATACATATAATGAGATATAATTTGATTAATTTTACAACTCACTATGTAACAATTATTATATTTGCATTTATTTGTTACATACTAGTAAAAATTGCAAATATTAGTCTAAATTTTGCTATAAAGAGCCTGAGAATGTTTGGCAATTTCATTTAGCAATTAATGTATGCAAACCCTACTCAATTAAGGTGCAATTTTTCTTAGAGTATTATCTAGAACCGTATCAACAAATCTATCGATTGGTTTTATTATTATAGGAATACATAATAAAGCAACAGAAGTTGTCAATGTGTTTCTCATTGCCACACTAATTTTTGTACGTGTCAATAAATAATTTGTCCCTTTGCATATCCTGTTTATAGTATAACCAGGAATAGATATAGAAGCCAAAAACTGCCAGAAAAATACGTCGGTAGCAGTAAATAAAGTCTTATGCACTTTGTGCGTTTGCTGATGAAAACAAAACATCAAAAAAATGTTATTGGTATAAAAACTGAACATACCTCGTAAGTTTTTGTCAACTTATCCACCGTATCAGCTAACATGTACAAACTAGCGACTGCATAACTGTAATGAACTAATCTACTTCCAATAAAACCACGAAAGGCTTCTCCAACTTCATTGGCATAACCTATAATGGAATATAATATTATAATCTTGAACTAGATAATTTTGTTGAATTTTCTTCATACCTAAGTACCTTATAGGAGTATCTCTGTATGGATCGTTTTCTTTTGGGTACATTTTGATTAATTAGTCACTGGTTAAAAAGTTTAATAAGTTAGGTATTTAAAAAAAACTGTTTTTGCTTGTTAACCTTCAACTTCCAATTTTGCAAATCTGTGTTGCCAAATTTCATTCGAAAGTATTGATTTTTATTAAGAAACTAACAGAAAAATTTATTTTTTAAAATTGATTAAGAAATATTTGTAATAATTTTACGTTTTTGATTTAAAAATGTTATGTTCTAAACGTTCTCTGATTGGTCGTTACTTTTGAACAATGTGGATATGCAACAATTCAGTCAATAGGCGCGGCGAATACAAATTTTAAAAATACGATCTTGTTCCCCCTTTTTTCTGTGTTAATATAAGTATTTAATTTAAATTGATAAAAATAATACTTTAATTTAATTACTAAACGAAAGAAACTAGAAGAAGTATATAC